GTAGTAGTAGTACTAGTCGTGGTGGTGGTGGTGGTGGTGGTGGTAGTAGTAGTAGTGGTGGTGGTGGTGGTGGTGGTGGTGGCAGTAGTAGTGGTGGTGGTGGTAGTGGTAGTAGTAGTCGTCGTGGTGGTGGTGGTGGTGGTAGTAAGAGTAGGAGTAACTGGTAGTAGCTGTCTCGTAGTGGTAGGAAGAAGAAGTAGAAGAATAACAGAACGCATGAGTGTACGACGGGCATATGGGGGATTTCCGGACTACAGCCGTAATATCAGGGCTTAAATAATTACCAAAACTATTTTTTGGGGGTTCCTTCTTATGATTATAGCATATGCCACAAAACCCTATTGTATTTATTGAGGCCTCTACATTGGTAGTTTCGCAACGACCCATGAACCTCGTTGGCCGGATGATTGAGTGTAGGGTTTAGGGTTTAGGCTCTCTTGCCGGATATTTGGTCCTTTTGATGCCCATACTTATGGTTCTTTTTTGGGTGGTTCTTCATTCCCATACTTATGGTTCTTTTTGTTGGGTGGTTCCTCAGGGTTTAGGGTGCAGGGTTTAGGTGCTTCTTCGGGCTCACGCTCACGCGCGTTGCTGAGTTAAGGTGTTTTGGAGCCTTAAGGAGCTCTAAAACTAACCAACACCCCCGTCAAACAAGAAAAACATCCACAAATGCAATTAAACCTAAGCCGAACCCCTAAAGTCTAAATCTCAGAAATCCCAGAAAGGGCTGAGTGAGTCGTAATATTATAGCCGCTATATATGCCGTTATACCGCAGTACACCCGATAATTCTCTTCTAATACCTCCAATGATTACTTCTTTAGAAGGGCAGCTGACACAGAGAAGCTTAGACCCTAAACCCTAAACCCTAAACCCCTAAACCTAAACCCTCCACAATTCCTTCAGCCCGAGCCTTGCTAGGCGAGCATCATGGGCTTTACGGACCTTTGCCCCATGGGCCTCTGGGATGAGACAGGGTTTAGGGTTTAGGATTTAGGGTTTAGGGTTTAGGGACACTATTCAGGATCGAAATATGTTCGGGTTTCGGATTTTTTTTTGGGGGGTCATGTTTCTAGGGTTTCTTATGGGTGAGCATCTTAGTAGCATCTTAGTAGCATTAACCGTTAACCCAAAGCCCTAAAAGGTTGAGGGCCGATGTAAGGGTCCATTGTCTCCTCAAGCTGCCTTAAGCCTTCACAGCCCTAAACCCTAAACCCTAAACCGTTCTAGTTAAAGAGTGTGGTTTAAGTTACCATAGTTAGTATGGATCTCACGAACATGATGTGGCTTATACTGTGCTTAAGGACGAAATGACCCTGCCCTACACCCTTATACGATGAATTCCTATATGGTATATGAACCTAAACCCTTTTCGGGCTCATTTCCTCCTTAAGAGTAATATAGGGACCTGAATGGTTCGAATAGGGTTTTGGGGTTCCTTATTGAAATTATAGTATAAAGGGCCCCGAAACCCTATTCTAATTATTAAGGCCCCGATCTTATGGTAAGTGAGATTCGATTCCTTAACGAGAACCCAGCGCGGGAGGTCTTGGGGTGCAGGGTTGAGGTGCAGTTTCAGTGTAGTGTCTAGGGCTCAGGGTTTCGGGTTCAGGGTTTCGGGGTTTAGGGTTTAGGGTCTACTGCAGTCTCAAACTGACATGCTGCAACTTTGGATGTTGGCGTGAAAACTGCTTGGACTCAACCCTCAACCTCTTACCATCGCCGTGCATCCGCACCCGAATCTCGAAGAGGGCTCCTTAGGATGGATCTCTTTCCCTTTGTTGCCTAGCACTCCAAACAGCCCCAAATAGATGCATGAAAGACTCACGACCCCAAGTTAGGCGGTTGATACGCGACAGGCGAATTGAAATATAAGCCTTATATAGGTGTCAAATCCTACCTCAACTTTATGCCAAGCCCAAAAGTGCTGACCCCTGATATGCAAAACCCCTCAACCCTAAACCCTAAACCCTAAACCCCAAACCCTAAACCCTAAACCCATAGTGAGAGACCCCAAGATCCTTCTTTCAGGTAGGGGCTTTAGCAATCAGGGGTCCGCATTTCCCCAAACCTTATGCCTAGGTAGGCCTTTGGAACATTTTGGGGCTTAAGAGGATCTTATTTGCGAATATTTTTCAGAGGCTTTGAGGGGCCAACCTAGACACCCTAAATGAAGGAGCTGCTTGTCGCGCTTGCTCAGGCTTTTGGAACGTGCTTGTCAGCTGCTTCGCCACCGTCGCCGGCGTGATATCTGTCCCGCTTTGGCCCGCCAGGCGTTCGATTTAAGCCTAAGCCCGTCAACTCCAAATCCTGCGCCGTTGCATCCTAGGTAGTATTAGGGAGACCCCCTTACATGGGGACCCTTCTTAAGCCTACGTATGGCTCTCTCAAAGATCATTGAGAGGGTCCATATCCCAATAATCCTAACTCCCAAAGGCCCTCGCCTGACCCTAAACCCTAAACCCTAAACCCGTCTGGGTCTCGATCCCTCGGAGATGCAAATCTCTGGTAGTGGCGATTGTAGTACTCAGTCGTAGAGTAATATAGACGCCCAGGTAATTTACCAATAGTACTTGCGCGGTTCTTTATGATATTTATAGTAGAATATGGTAGAATCTGCCCCAAAACCCTTTTCTAATTATTGAGGCCCCTACATTAGGTAGCTCAGCTTCGGGGGTTTAGGGTTCAGAAGTCGAGGGTTTGGGGTAGTAGAGTAGGTAACCTGTAACCTTTTGGGGGGCATTATGACCCCTATGTTTCCCAAAGATTAACCTGTAGTTGCCCTATGATCTACTGGACAACTACGAATCGACGACCCCGGCAATCATCATTGTAGACACAGTTTGAATGCCAATGTCGCTGCAGATCTGCGCGAAAACCATGCGCAAAACATTATTATCCCAATTATCACCTATGCCCTAAATCTCAAGCCCCAAACCCCAAACCCTAAATATCCAGAACTTGAAAACTCTCTATGCACAAGAATCACAAGCAGGTGTGCACGCTCGGACATCAGCTTCGTGGATGTGACCAGCATCCACCAGGCATAGCATTGTGGTGGGCTTGGCTCAGCATCGTAGGGATTATGCTTAAACCTATCGAGCATTCCGCCTGCGGAGGTTCCTAAACCAGTCTATTCTGTCGGCTCTGGGGGAGCAATTCCGGGTTTCTAGACGTTGGCCTCGAGCCTGAAGCTGTGTTGCTGAAGTATACAGGTTTGAGGGTTCAGGGTTAGAGAGGCTGAAACTGATAGTGGAGAACCGTTTGACAAATATCCGCAGTTTTGGGCTTGAGACTTGAGTCTAGGCTGCGATCAAGTTTCAAGCTGAATCTACATTGCATACTCCCATTTCCTGTGTAACGGGGCTGGGTGTTGGAATTTCCTGGTTGTGGGCTTTGGCAGTTATTGCAAACTCTGAACCCAGAAAAGCCTCTTCCTGAACAGGGTTTGGAAGCCCTGATGCGAAACATTTCAAGCTGGTGAGTCCCCCCCTAAACTCTAAACCCACAACCCAAAAGAACCCTAAACCCTAAACCCCCTAAACCCTAAACCCCAAACCCCTAAACCCCTAAACCCTAAACCCTAAACCCTAAAACCAAAAAAAAACCTAAAACCCTAAACCCAAACCCCCTAAAACTCAAGCACGAAAACCTAAGCCCTGTTTGGGGTCAGTGTTTTGATCCGCTTCAGGGTTTTGGGGTTTTGGGTTTAGGGTTTTAGGGTTTAGGGCTTTAGGGTTTTAGGGTTTAGGGATTAGGATGTGTCCGTGAACTAGGAAACGTCCTTGGAAGTATGGCCGGGATCCGTAACAGCCTGAACATAACCACACCATGAACCCCACCCAGAAGTAAGCAATGTTACTATGAGGATCGGAATAACTATTGATAGCACTCCTTAGGATTCCTTGTTTTGGTTGTAGTATACCGTACCCTGAACGCTAAACCCTAAACCCTAGAACCTAAACCCAAAACCCTCAACCCTAAACCCTAAACCGTGATCCTTTTCTCATTAAACACGCCCCTACATCGCCGTGCCCTGCAGGAAGACCAGGAGTTGAAGGAGCGCGGGGTCTACGGAATTGCCGGGTTCTTGTACCTGAGCTCGGTTTAGGGTTTAGGGTTTAGGGTTTAGGGTTTAGGGTTTAGGGTTTAGGGTTTAGGCCTTCTTGGCTACCCAAACCGCCCAAAGTAGGCAAAACAATGGCCCAAAACCGAGAAAAAGGCGATTGTTCTACATACGTTTGGGGTCCAGGTACCCTGAACACCAAAACCCAAAACCCTAAACCCTAAACCCCAAGTAAGGACAGGTCTAGCACGGGGGTCGTTTCACGCTCGGGCTACGGTTTAGGGTTTAGGATCACTATACACCTGTACAATGTAATATGAAGTTATACTGCGTGGTATTATGTTCTGCTTCATCTCAGAATAGTAACTATACGGTATTATAATAATATATCATGTTTCTGTGTTTTATGTTAATATGGTGTTATATGTTTTCACAATACAACAGACCAGATCAGATTCATATCATTTCTCGTATGTTAGATGAAATTTACATTATGAGACATCACATGATCATGCATTGTAATATCTTTAAGCATGTTTCATCATATGGGATTTCAAGCGTATATAATGTTTGTGTTTTATGTTACATAATTGGTTTCATTTTCCAACTGTCTGTGTGTGTATCTGCACATATTTAATTATCGTTCTATTTCCCATTGTTTCTGTATTTTGGTGTTCGCATTAACATGTTATTTAATGTTGTTAGTCTTATTTCCATTGGTATCATTACTATTAATACTCGTATTATGAATATTTCTTTTATATCATTATTATTGTTACTGTTTGCCATTCTTGATACTACTATTCGTCTTGTTGTCTTTTTTTGGTAATATTGTATGTATTTGTGTACTTGTTTACGTCATGTGCTTATCTTTTCGCTTTGATTGTTTTGATTATTGCTACTGTCACTATTATCATTATTGTTGGTTATTATACCTGTTGTTATTAGTATTGTTTCGGTTATTACTGTTGTTATGAACCTGGCCTAGGGGTTTTTTGGGGGGGGATTTAAAGGGTTTAGGGTCTGGGAACCCTAACCTCTAAACCCTAAACTGAAAACTGGGGTGATTGAATGCGCCCACAGAGCTCCTAAGATCTTCTTCCTTAAGGACGACATGAACCCTAAAAGGGTTTAAGGTTCATATACCATATAGAGATTCATAGTATATGGGTAGAGCGCCCCCTTCTTTTAAGGGTCATTTCGTCTTTAAGGTTGTGCCCAATTCCTATAAACCTGAGCCCTAAACCGACGCAGGCCGAAACCTGCCACCCATAAGCCCATGGCCCATGGACCCGAATTTAAGCCCTGACGCCTAAACCCTGAAGCCTACCCATGAACCCTAAACCCTACCGCCCATGAACCGTAAACCCTAAACCCTGAAGCCTGAACCTTAAACCCTGAAGCCTTAACCCTAAACTACACCCATGAACCCGAAGTCTTCAGCCCCCGACGAAAAGACTTCCTTAGCTCAAAAGCTCTCGGACCAGTCTCAACTATCTCCGCTCTAAAACCAACGGTTTAGGGCATAAGGGTTGAAGGTTTAGGGCTTTGAGGTTTAGGGTCTGGGGGTTTAGGGTTTCTAGGCCATAAACTATACGTAGGCCTTTGAGACATTATTGTCTCCTATCGGGCTTGAGAGGATCTTATTTCAAAGGAGTTCAGGGGCCGACCTAGTAAAAACAAAGTCGACCCCTCGATTTGAGAAGTGAGGTGCATCTCTGACGAGCTGCGCATTCTATGGAGTTCGCCCTACCTGTCCCGGCTCTCTGGTTCCAGTAGGGTTTGGGGTTTCGGGTTTAGGGTTTAGGGTTTCGTATCAGGAATTCGATTAGGGTTCAGCCCAGGGCTTTCGGGTTGCAGTTCTGAGATTTGAACACCAGGAACTTTATTCAGTGGCCATAGAACTGCGCATTTAGGTTTCAATAGAGGACAGTTGGGGATCGGGACGGGTATTACAGTTTAGAACTGAAGGCTCGGGGATGGAGTTTAATCACCGGAGGCATACTAGTCTCCGCTGTGTTGTTGCCATTCTCAAAAATACACTGAACCCTGCATCCTAAACTATAAAATGCTGAACCGTTGCCCTAGAACCCTAAACGCAAAGCCCTAAAATCCTAAACCCTAGACGCTAAGCCACTTTGAAAACAGCCTGCAGCAACGACAAGCCTGACACTACCAACAACGACTACCACCTGCAACAGCAACCGCAGCGACGTCAGCCCATCATCAGCAGCAGCCAGAGAGTGTAAAGATGTGCTAAGTGTCCTGTTCAACCCTGGTACCTTTGAGTGATCTGCTCAGACAAATGGTATCGACGATGTAATCCCGGTGAAGATGCTGAGGCTCTGGTGCGTCTTCGAGCTTGCGGCTTACAAAAAGGTGAACCCAGGAGGAACAATCACTTTCAGACCACTTTTCATCGAAAGGACTGTGTGCGTGATGCTGGCTTCGGCATACGTCTTTGCAGCTTTATTTCTCGTCGCGAGGGATGTCTTTGGACCGGGCATTACGACGATGGCTGTCGCCTTTGCTATTTTCGCGTGCCCATATGCTGCGGGCATTTATTTGCTTCGAATGAGCTTCCGGGAGAAGCACCAGCTAATTTCACAGCTTGCGAACTTTGACTTGGAAGACGTGCACTGCGCCGAGCAGTTCGACCGCTCCTCGGAAGCAAAACCTCGCTTCTGCAGTGTCAGCTTTTGTGGTTTTTGCATATTATTATGGCATGTCGAAAGTCGATACCTGGCAGGTATTCCGGTCTGTAGTGGTTGCAAGGAGGGACTCCTGATTAGCTCCTGCCGGGCTGGTGGAACCTACTACCCCGCGAACATACTAACTACAAGGTTTTGGAGCCTTTCGGCAAGCTCCCTAAACCGTAACCTTGAAACCCATGGATCCATCTATCTGTCGATTTATCTACCTATTTACATACATACATGCATGCATACATACATGCGTACTTGCATACATTCATACATGCATACATACATACATACATACATACATACATACATACATACATGGCATGTGCGCATAGGTGTATGAACATATAAATATATGCATACATACATATATGCATGCATGCATACATACATACATACATACATACATACATACATACATGCATACATGCATACATACATACTGCACATATATATATATATACACATGATTTGCCTATTTTTATATTGTCATACATATACATATACATGTACATATACATATACATATACATATATAGGTATGCATACTTGCATGTGTATATATACATATACATATATGTGTGTGTGTGTGGTAGTGTGTATATATATATATGTATGTATATGTATATATGTGCGACCCCACAGGGTTTCAACTGCGCTCATGATATTATACTGCATACCATATCATAAATAGACATTATCATAAATGGGATTTAAGGTTCAGGGTTTGCACCCTATTGTAACTAGGCTAGTGCTGTATTAAATTGTATGTCGTCCGGCAGGTTGTGTAGGTAGATTGAACCATGTCCGGGCGGGCCTACATGCAGGTCGGGGTTAATGGCTCAGAGTCAACGACACAAGGGGTCTAGCGCTTCGGGTTTGGAGTTTAGGGTTTAGGGTGTTGAAATGAACCCTAAACCCTAAACCCTGTGGTTGCCCGGGAGGAGACTTCATCCACGCAGCTATCGAGAAGTGGTATGGAAGCAAGAGGGCCTTCACCGAGTTCGTGCGTCAAGATCTAAGGCACCGACTGTATGGTTTTGGGCTATGTAGTTCCCCAATACCCAATACCCAACCTTTGAACTTTTTGGGTTTTTTGTTTAGTAGTAATCTGAAAGTTTAAGCCTTTGTTTCCTTGCTTATTGGGGAAATAAGGCTACTAGAAAACTACTTACACCCCGAACCCGCATATAGTATTGCTCCAGACGCTGCGAAGTTTGCAACCCATCCCCCGAGACCCGTAACTCAGGACCTGTAAACCCCTTCCAAAACCAACCCCAAGCTTTACGACTTATGAGCAATAATGATATGAAGCGCTAAGTCGGTAATTATGAACAGCCTCTACCCTCCACATACTATGCGAAAGAAGCACCTCCACCCCATATCCTGGACCCCATCAACCCTGCATGCACAGCCAAAGAGAAGAACCAGCTCCCAGCGATCCCTAAACCTTAAAACTCTGGAGGAAGGATGTGGAAAAAATCCTGGCTGCCAAGCGCCTGCCCAGACGCTATTTGCTACTTCTGCTCCTCACCTGACCTCACGTAGAAAGGAATTCAGGCTTACCTTACCCCCAAAGAACCTACCTTTTTAAGGGTTCTTACAAAGAAATCATAATAAGGATCCCTAAAACGGTAGGTTTTGTAGGGTCCAGGTAGGGCCTAGAAACTAGGGTTCAAGGCGGCTTTCATGTTCAGAGGGTTGAAGTTTTAGGATTTAGGGCTTTGTGGCTCCAGGGTGCTGTGTAGCATAAGGGCTCATCCAAGCGGCTCTAGTGGTTCTATAGAATCCGTTTCCACCTTTGTTACCCTAAAGGTCCATGTGCCCAAATAGTATATACTTTGGCCCCAAAATACCAAAAAAGGGACTACATAAGGCCAAAGTATCTACTATTTGGGTATATGGACCCTTAGGGTTTTAGCATGATTAGAAATGTTGCCTTCATTTTGGGTGCTTACAGCTACTCCAGAACACCATTACGCATTAGATCAAGACTTCTCCGAGAATGCAAGCTGGTTCTTTGATCCGCCGGAGTCTAGAAGCTGAAGCCCTAAACTCTAAACCCAGTGTCGTCTTACGGGCTTTGGAGCATACAGTGCACGGGGCTTGGGTAATATAGGGGCCTTGTTTTGATTACCTATACTATGTTGGGGGTCCTTATTCTGATTATAGGATAATATATCCCTAAACCCGATTCTAATTATTAAGACCCCTACATTAGGTTCATAAAGTGCAGGGATTGACGGCCTTGTGGGAGTTTGTGGCGGTTTTGGAACACCCGTCACCCCAATGTGAACATCAACTAGTTGGTGCGTGGTTCTAGAGAGTCGTTGAAGAAGTCTGTAGTTTGGAAGCATTCCGAAAAATATCAGCAGAGAAACTAGAAACCAAGTTCGGCATACCTTCTGGTAGAGGGCCAGACTTTGCTGGACAGTTCCTGTGGCATTTAAAGGATGCCTTCTTCGGCTCAGAATCGTCTCATCAAGCAAACTACCACAACACCATGTTCTCCCTCTCTATGCACGCATATCTCATCAAGCAAGCTACCGTACCAGCCATTTTACTTAGTGCTCTCTTTACTATAGAAGCCTGAAAAACTATTCCTTAAGGGTTCCTTATTATAAGTATACTATAAAGGGGCCCAAAACCCTATTCTAATCATTAAGGCCCCTACTATAGAACCCTATTATAGATCCCTTATAAAACCCTCTAAGGATCCCTTTAAAGGATCCCTATTCTAATTATTAAGGCCCCTACATTTAAAAACTTGGACCTGTGTCGGCCCCACAGTCGTAAGTCCTAAAGACCAAAACCCTAAACCCTAAGCCCCAAAAACCGTGGCCCAAACCTCCCAACAATTTCTAGGACTTTAGGAGTTTAGGGGTGTAGGGGTTTAGGATTTAGGGGTTTATGGGAGGCTGTGCGCTTCAACTCCTGTAAGAATTCCTTGTTGACTTTCTCCCTAGACCCACCCTAAAGAAACCTATACCCTAAACCCTAAAACACCCTCGACCCTATACACCCTAACGCTAAATACAGAAATGCCCCTCAAAAGCCCGGGAAGCCCAGACAGCGCCGGCCCTTGGGTTGGGTTTCGCGCCCCTTGTAGATGGATACTTCTCTAAATGTAGGGTCCTGTTTTAAGGGTTCCTTAAAGGGATTTATGTAACGCTTTCTACAAGGTTTCTATAAGGGTTCTAGTTGGGTAGTTCTCTAAATTAGGTTCCCTTTTAGGGTTCCTTAAAGGGATCTAGACGGCTTTACATGTTAATAAGGTTTCTATAAGGGTTCTGGTTGGGAAGTTCGCTAAATTAGGGTCCCTTTTAGGGTCCTTTTTTTAATAAGGGTGCCGTACTATACTAGGGATCTAGAAAAGGAGCCCTAATTGAGAGAGCTACCGAAAAAATAGCATGAGGGTTTCAAGGGTTTGGGAGTTTAGTGCTTTTGGGGTGTGGGGTTTAGCGCAGTCCCTAATTAGAAGCTTTCAAAGTACCCAAGCCAAACACTGTTCGCTCGCCAAATGAGGCTCCTCCCCATCCTCAGCTGTTCCATGGAATTCTTCCTGGCAAACTGGAAACCCGGCTCACGTCTGGTCTTCGTGGTCGAGCAGGTAACCTTAAACCTTCGTGGGCTAGTCAGTAAAATAGGGGCCTGAATAATTACCTATACTATTTGGGAGGTTCCTTATATATTATTATCATAGCTTAATATACCCCCAAACCCTGTTCTAATTAGTAAGGACCCCATATTAAGTATACCTGAATATTCTGTAACCATGTAACCCTAAACCCCTCCCATATCCGGAAGCCACCCAGATCCGCGGAGGTCGAGCCTGTCAAAACTGAGTAACCTGAAAAAGGGTAATGTAGGGGCCTGAATAATTACCAATACTATTTTGGGGGTTCCTTACTATGATTATAGTATGATGGGCCCCAAAACCCAATTCTAATTATTAAGGCCCCTATAGTACCAGCATTACATGGGGGCACTCAACAACCTCGATGTTCTTCTCTTTGGAGTTTCTCAGGCTGGAGAGAGTGCCCTCAGCCCATGTATTCCGTAAACCGTCAGAAAAGTCGGACATGTTAAGGATGTTGACGGATGACTGGACTCAAGAACCTATTCAACTGTCAACTTAGCTTTGCCAATCCCAACCCTAAACCCTAAACCCTAAGCCCTAAACCAAGGAAAGGCGGCGCACCCCGTGACGTTCTGCTTTCTTTTGCTATCGGCATCCTTTTCGGCTACGACATCTTCTATGTCACCGCCTGCCCTGCGTCTGATTTGGGGGCCCGAATACTCCATGGTCTCGAACAGGCCCTAAATAAACCCGCTACTCTAAAACCCCTACAAACCCCTGACCCTAAAGCCCCAAACTCCTAAACCCCAAACCCTTAAACCTCAAACCCTAAGCCTTAAACCCTAAGCCCTAAACCCCTAAGCCCTAAACCCTAAATAGTAATGTAGTCCGACTGCCTGCCCAATATGGGCTTTGGAGTGCAAGCAACAGGAAAGGCCCTTTAAACAAAAAACTAAGCCCTAAACCCTATGCCACGAACCCCTAAACCCTAAGCCTTGAACCTCCAAACCCTAAGCCCTAAACCTGCATGGTTTTTGAACAGTCTAGAACTCTTCAGAGTCGGCAGTGAAGTTTCTTCCATGCTTGCGGGGCCTGAGACCAGCCTTGATTGGGTCTGGGGTTTAGGGTTTATAGGGCTTTGGGTTTTAGGGCTTTTGGGGTTTTGGGGTTTATAGGCTTATAGGGGTTTATGGGTTTAGGGTTTATAGGGTTTGTAGGGGTTTAGGGTCTTAGGGTTTAGGGGTTTAGGGTTTATAGGTTTAGGGTTTATAGGGCTTAAGATCTGGATGAAGGTTCTCGGCTCGGTTCAATGCTTGAGGGTTTGAGGAGTCTAGTCCAGGATACTTCGCATAGATGTTGGAGGTACTTTGTACGACGACAGTAAATGGGGCTTTATGCTATTACTAACTACTCCAACTCTTCACAACTCCGTATTCATGACTACATTGACTACATAGGGACTACCAGGGAATACTTCTACTAATTGTTAATGGTTCCTACGTCTACATGTATTACATTGTCTGGGTTCGGGGCTTACGGTTCACAGGTTGAGGGTTTCATGTTTGCAGAAGTAGTGTTCAAAGTACAGAAGTGTGCAAGCAGGGGTGAGCGACCGACAAGGATTCGTCTATGTCGGATGATCCGAGACGCTAAACCCCAAGCCCTAAAAACGATGGACACGGCACACGCGCACACACACACACACAAACACACACGCGCGCTCCATGCAATTAGACCACTGGTTAAGGACCCTCCCGTCCTTAAGGGTCTCCATATCAAATTTCGCTAACAAAAAACTGAGGATGCTTACCCAGAGGCACCATGTTATATACTACCATTACGCAATTCGGGCTCAAAAGATCCTCCTTGTCATGGTTCTAGGGACGTAAGTCCAACGTAGTAGTATATGTGGGCCCTCTTGCTTTGTACGGTTCAGAATGTCGCCTTTGAGTGCTGTGTCCCGTGTCCCCTAAACCCTAAACCAACCCTAACTAAACCCTGAACCCGAAACCCTAAACCCGGAGAATGTGCGTCTACTGTTTTGTTTGAGGTAGGTTGAAGGTTTAGATTTCTGGGTTTTGTTGAGGTTTAGGGTTATAGGGTTTAGGGATGCACCACAGACTAATCTTAGTCCCTGCAGCCGCTTCTTCAACCCTCAAGCCGTGTCAAGCCCCTAAACGCGACAACCTGTAAGTACCGAAGCTGAATAGCTTTGTCCCTCAGGATTTGTGGGTTGGTTCAGGTCCCCTGCTGCTAGGCTTCGTGACCTGTTGGCTCTTGCAAGAGGATCTTACATATGGGGATTAGGGTATCAGAACTGGGTTGAAGGATTAGAGGCTTGATAGGACATCTGAAAACCATGTGCTACACAAAGACTTGTGTGCGGAAATTTAGTCTGCGGTGCGTTGCGGACACAGGTTGATTGTTGATGGTAGAAGCCGCAAATCCACACACACACACACTGCATACAAATTCAGTGCTCATGTTGTTATAAGTCTTTCAGTGCCTCGATTTCAGTAGGGTTACAAGTTTGCTGACACTACTTGAACTGTTCTGCTGGTGTTGCTACTGCCGGTTCTGTCATGATGGAGCTTGTTCTTAGCTCGCCTGTGTTGACGGATCCTGACCCAAAACTCTAAGACTCTACACCTGAAGGCAAGAAGCCTCATCACATCTCATCACCCTTACAGATTATAGAAACCCGTACAGAACGGTACTATAGTCCCCTAAACCCTAAACCCTAAACCCGAAATCAAGAGCCCTAAGGTTCGCTTCTCATGGTTTATCTTTGCGACATCCTGGCTCCCAAACGCTGTGGATGTCTGGACCGCGTAAGACGAACTTTCGCTTTGTGTCGTTCCGCAGCTGTAGCTTGCGGCCTTAGTCCGTGTTTGGGGTTTTGAGGTTTAGGGTATAGGGGCGAACACCCGAATTCCACACTGATCCCTGAGATCTAAATCTAAAGCTGTAGTGGTTGCAGCTGCATCACGACAGCGACGTGACGACGCCCACAATGGTTGCAATGAAGAAAATGTCACAACTACTGCACGATCGCTCAAATACCGGGGAAGATGCGACGACGACCGCGGCGACGATGACCGCGACTTTGATCAAATGCTACAGCCCCGGGGCCAGCACAACCTCAACCGCCATCGCCACCATAGGGTTTAGGGTTTAGGGCACCGCCGCCCCTGACACCACCTGAATTCAGCATGACGGTATGTACCAAAAAAATAACGCCAACCGCGACAACCATGATGGCAATACCTTCTTGCTAGAAACCGAGAACGAGGTGGCTACCGAACGTTCTGGTTGATCCAAAAGGCGAGCATGTGCTTTGATGCTGTCCAAAAATCACATGCTAACCTCCTGACAGTCCCTACTCGCATGTGGGTAGTTCTCTAAGTTAGAGTCCCTGTCTAAGTCCCCAATATAGTACGGCACCGTTATAAACAGGACCCCAAAAGGGACCCTAATTTACCTCCTGGCCCGGGCGCACCGACCAAATCGTCCAATGAAAACGCCCCTTCATTAGCATTCCCAGAGAACCCAATACCCCTCAGTTAAGGAATATACTTTAAATTATAGGGGCCTTAATATTGTGATTTAAAGTATATTCCTTAATTAAGGGGTATTGGGTTCTCTGGGTTAGCTACCTTCCTTAACCCTAACCCTCCAGGTACCTACTATATACATATAGGGCCTTAGGGGCTCTAGTACCCTATATGGGGGTTTCCGAAAATAGCTTAAATGCGAACAGACTTCGATGCCTC